TCACCCAAGAGTGCTGAAGGAACTCAAATATGAAATTGCGGAACTATTAACTGTGGTATGTAACATATTGGCTAACTCAACCTCTGTACCAGATGACTGGAGAGTAGCTAATGTAACGCCTATTTTTTAAAAAAGGCTCCCCAGGCAATCCTGGCAACTACAGGTTGGTAAGCCTAACTTCAGTACCATGTAAATTAGTTGAAACTATACTAAAGAATGAAATTATCAGACACTAAGAAAAACACAATATTTTGAGAAAGACTCAACGTGGCATTTGTACGGAAATCATGCCTCACCAATCTATTTGAATTCTATGGGGGAGTCCACAGGCATGTGGACAGGGGTGATACTGCTGATATAGAATATTTAGACTTTCGGAAAGCCTTTGACAAGGTCCCTCACCAAAGGCTCTTAAGTGAAGTGAACAGTCATGGGATAAGAGGGAAGGTCTTCAGAATCAATAACTGGTTATTACACCTATTAATTTTGCAGTTCTTGTTGTACATTTGTAATTATTATGCCATCTATGTCACTGATCCTATGAGTTCTGTCACCCTGTACAATAAGTAGTGAATGCTTTCAGTTGCACTAAGCATTCTGCAGCATATGTTGTGAAGCAATAAAGATGAATTATTTACCAAAAATGGATTTTTATGGCATACCAAAGTCAGTGTAAAAAACAATGTGCAATTAATTAAAAAGGTTCTCTCTACAATAAAAACTTCTGAAATAAATTAATGGAATAGAACTTAACAATGTCCATTTCAGTTCCTTTTGGCTACGCATACAGCAACCCTGGTTTTGTCAGGTCAGTGTATGTGAAGCTATGATCATCCTTACTGTCCACCAGGGCGGAGTGGTAGGGTTATGGATGCAGCCCCTGAAGTCACATGGAGTGTTGGGGGGTGTAGAGAAGTGCTAAAATTGACTGCAAAGGGAGACAAGCCTGTGATTGTTGAACATGTAGGTCAACTAGAATCTTCAGTATCTGTGTTTGCTGCTGGAGAAGGCAAATTATGTCCTGGTGCATCTCTCTCTCCTTTTCCTGCTGGGCCTCCTGGGCCTCCTATTTGGTCTTTCCTTCTCCATACTGTCTGAAATATTCACCTTTCTGGCTCTCGGTTCACAGTCCAATGAAGCACTGGCTTTCAGAATCTCACTGAACATATCCTCACATCTGCTCATCTTTCTCCTCCTTATCATGGTCAGGTGTTCCACGGGTGTGGAGGGGATGGCCCGTCAAGGCTGCAGCAGCTACAGATAAAACACACAGAGGTATCATTGTCTGTATAATCACCATTGAAAGTGAAAGTTAAGTTTCAGAACTCCCTTCCCTTGCTCCTGGAAAGTTTGAAACAAGACATGCTTATTGACATTTCAGTCTTGGAGAGCGCCTGTGCACAGCACTACTCTCCAGTCCCAGTCCTGGTGAGTATAGTCCAGCAGGGGTGAGGGGAATGAGGAGAGAATTTTTTGGTTGCATGAAACAACAAAATTTTGTCCCCTAAAGTTCATGGGTATGAGTGCAGGGCAATGTCACTGAGCACTGGAACTATTTTTCACAGGCACTGGTGATTTTAGCTGGCATCTCACTTCTGAGGGTAACAAAGGAATAGAGAGGACAGCTGCTACTGATGTCTCAAAGCTGCCTGGGCCCATCTGCAGCTAGCCTGTTTACTGCAATGGTGCCTGCTGAAGTCATCATGGACTGGTGTGGGAAAGTGTACTACCAAGGAAGAAGGCTGCCATCCCTATCTTCAGGAGAGGACTGCAGAGTACCTCCATGAACGTTTCATTGAGATCTCTCAGGAGGATTCAAGTGACATCCCTGTGCACATAAACAAACAACTCCTCTTGGCCTCCTTGGTTAACTCTACAGGGGATGAAAAGCAGATGATTGCTCTACCTCTGTTTGTTGTACAACTACCTCTTCTAGTACAAGTACGCTAACAAAAAGTCAGTAGCTGTGTCCTGTTGAGTTGGGTTGGACACCATCTGTACATTTAAACATTGTAATAGGAAATGCATTCACATGCTTACCCGTGTTCCTTCCTGTGCATCAGGCTTTCCCGTGCTCAGCTGCCAGGACTGACTAGACTATGGTGGAGCCTTAAACACATGCTGGCTCATAGGATAACTGGACCCTCCGGTCATGTCCAGCATCCTTTGCCTCCTCTTCCTGCTCCTCCTCCACCTCACTGTTCACTGCAGGGCTCCTCAGAGGAATCATGATGATCTGCGGGGCACTAGTGGGGCCTCTGCCAAGCATCACATGCAGATCATTATAAAAGTGACAAGTCTGCGGTTTGGCTTCAGATTGACTGTTGGCTTCCCCGGCCTTGTGGTATACCTGTGGTAGTTCCTTTGTTTTCTCGCAGCACTGCTGCTGATTCCTGTTGTACCCCTTCACCTGCATCCCCTGTGCAATCTGCGTGTTAATGTCTCTGTTTCTACAGCTTGTCCATAGCTGTGCCTGTGCAGCCTCCTCTCCCCACAGGCCCAAGAGATCCAAAACCTCTTGTCTATTTCAGGCAGGAGTGCATTTAGAGTGGGGAGTTGGCATGGTTGGTTGGGCAGTTGCACACAAGGGAGAGCTGCAAGGTGTGCTCGCAAAGCTGGGCAATGAGAAAAGGCATTTCAAAACTATGCAAGGTTTTTAAAAGGGATGGGGTGGCTTGTGGTCTCCCTAACTCCTGGGCAGTGGAGTTCACAATTGTGGCCAAAATGGTCAGTGTCAGGCATTGTGGGACAGCTGCTGGAGGACTGTTGGAGTCTATAGGTTGCACAGTATCCACACTTGCATTGCATCAAACACTGTACTTCAATCATGGCTCAATGTCATTTGGGGAGGTGGTGTTACTGTGTTGCCATAATGGGGCACTTATGTCCATGGGAGATAAATTTAAGTATAGACACGTGCACAAACATGTCGACATAAGGCTACTTATGTCAGCCTACCTTTGTAGTGTAGACAAGGCCTAAGTTAACTCATGTTAACCGCGTAGCAGATATGTTATATTAATCATATAGACAGAGCTTTCTATAAAAAATAATACAGCTATCTCCCCCATTCTATAAACAAATGTGCTTTGCTGTATAGTACATTAGTATTACAGAGTATGAGAGGTTTACACGGGCAATTGTCTCTCTATCTTTGGCTGCCAAGGAAATCAAGCTAATTATCTCAAGCTAAAATGTCAATAAAATGGAGCTGCTGAAAAGAAACAAAAAGTCTTAGCTATCTGAGCAAAGTTGTTAATTACAAGAGAATTAGAAATACGGTAGTTACAGCAAATGGAAAAATCAAACATTATAAGGGCAATGAAATGTACAGAGAAAAAACCTGATCTCTCTGCATCTAGGACAAAAACTAAGCTGGGAAATATACCCTTCAAATTCCAATACTCTTTCATTCTAGTACTTTGTATCTAAAAATAGATGAGATGTAAACCAAGGTTCTAATAAACTGTGTACATTCAAAATCCTGTATCAGTGTTAATCATGGTAGGATCAACCCTGGTGTCTTAGTCAAATTCCAAGTATATTCTGCTTATCTACAATTCTCTTTGCAGTTTCAGCTGGATATAGGGTTCTTTGTTCAGTTTTGAGTAGCTGTGTCGTGCTGCTGTGCTTCCATAGTTGGAGAAGTGATCTTTATATATAAAGTACTGTATGAACAGCATTGGGATGCTTAAAGTCAAAAATTCTGTAAATGTATGATCATTGTCTTTATCAATGAATTTAATATGAAAATTTATGTTCATTTTCAGAAAGCTCTACTTGGCAATCTTGGGCCTGATCCTGCAGCCCTTACTCATGTGAGTAATCCTCACTCACATGAGTATTTCCATTGACCTCAATAGGACTGCTTGGGTGAGTAAGGACTAATTGTGTGAATAAGGGTTGCAGAATCGAGTCCCTAAAGAGCTGGGAATTTAACAATTTTTTTCTTAGTTTATGAAAACTATAGAGAAATGTTCTGTCATACAGAGAAACAGCTCCTGCCAATAAATGTATGTTCTTCAATTGTGAACTGCTCTAATAACTAGTTTTTTCCAGAATGCAACCTTTAGTTTCAAATATACTATTTGAAGCAATTTGGTTTAGGAGAGATCATAAAATACTATTATGGCAAACGCAAATGTCCAGTGCTTTGAATTATAGCAAAGTAAAAGATATACTTTGTAACTAAGCATGCTTAGTAAATGTCCTGTTGAAAAGGAATGTTTTCTGCTCAAAATGAAAAACATCCCGATGGTTTATTTGCCAAGTAGACACTTTATAGATTACACTATCCTGTAAATTGACCTATTTTTAAGCTATATTCATCTACCGGAAAATCATCCCTTTACTGGCTGGTAGCGATTGGAGAAAGAAGTGATATAAGTTGGCTCAAAAAGTAAGGTATGAGTTGCTAAAAGTAGGAGGGAATTTATGAGAGAGGACGAGAAGCAACTCTGACTTACTCACAGAACCAGAGTTTATTGATTGTGTGTCCCATCTCTTTTTTAAGCAAGCGGTATTAATATACTTCTTCCCAAATTTTGTACGCCTATCAAACCACTCTAAAATAAACTGTAATACTTAGGAATTACATAGAAAACATCAAGTGAAAATTTCCTTCAGTTTATAGTCACCTTTCCATAACAAATTCAGTCACAAATACACTAATCAACTGTTGCTTTATAAATGCAAATTGAATAGTCTATTTCAGTTGTCATGCTGTGTAAAATGCAAAAAGAATAAAAAATAAAAAAATAAACAGCGTAAAGAATGAAAAGTAAATTAAAATGAAAAGTCATAATTCAAGGATTGTTAGTAAACCAGGTAAGAGAATTGATCTTTTAAGATTATTATTTTTAACCTTACTGTTCCATTTAAAGTTCCAGATTTTCATGTAAATAACACTGTTATTTGCTAACCTATCTTTTTCTCACTTTACTTAAAATGATTGGATCCCTAATGATTCACCTCTACTTTGTCTTTTATTTTTCTTTCAGGAACTTGAATTTCAGGATCTGACAGCGGTTTTACACTGTATTCACTCCTTTATAGCAGCAAAGGTGGCATCGCTTGATCCAGTATTTATAGACAGCCAGTGCATGGCAAGAAAATACATGTACAGTAACTGAAATCCAATTCTGTGTTGTGATTATTGCAAATAAATTATTTTCTTAAAGAAATTAGTTATTTCATGCACAATATTGCAATTCTGTGTGATTTTATAAGGAGCCTATAGTTGTGCTATCAATAAAAATGCTACTAGTTTTCATATTTTGTTCATCATTGTTAAATCTCATGAGTTAACAAACATTAATTCAAACTGAGTCAGTTTGTTTTCTTTAACATTAATCTAAATCCCAGAATGAAAATGTTCATAGCATAATATTTCTAATGTTATTTTGATTTTTTTTCTCAGAAGTTGCATCATGGTGTAAAAATGGGGACCAAGATTTGCCAGTTGTGTGCCTGAAGTTAGGCTCCTAACATTTGTCCTGGTCTTCAAATGTGCTGAGCACACAGAAACTTCCATAGACTTCACTATGGAAGAAAAGGGCAAGATTTTCAGAAGTATTTAAGGAAGTTAGGTGCCCAACTCCCATGGAAGCTAGTGCAATAGGCTTCTAACTTGCTTTGATACTTTTGAAAATCCTATCCCAAGCTACTTATATAGGTGCCAAAGGGGCTGATTCTTCCAAGTGCTGAGCACTCTTACCCTGATCCAGAAAAGTACATACCCACGTGCTTAAATCTCAGAATATGAGTAGTCCCAATTAATTGACAACGTAAAGTTAAGCATGTTTAATTGCTTTGATGGGTCCGGTGAAGAGTGTTAACTACTCATGTCAGGCCAGGCTTCAGCTACAGTAGTACCTTGGAAGATTTGAGCCCTAAATTTGGATTTAGGAACCTAACTTGAAGCTCTTATTTTTGAAACCTTGGCCATGGGTTTCTTTGCTGTCCATTGATAATTCCCCTCATTACTCATTCTTCCACTCATTCATCTATAACACTGTGTTCCCCACCTTTGGCTGTGCTCCTATGTATTAGGATTGTACATAGGATTATGATTAGCTTCTTGAAAAACTATTTTGTTTGTTCGATGTAAGGTATGGGGTAGATGTATCTACCCATAAAGACTTTCTCATTATTTTCTAAACACTGCGGGTCAAATTCTGACCTCATAAGCTTGCATGTGAATGCAGCTGACATCAGTGAGGGATGCCTGTGCTTAACAAAGGAAGAGTATGGCTTTGCATGGGATTTGTTCTAACCTACTTCTGCATAGTGTATCCTTTCTGATGAAAAAATTTGCCTAAATGCACAAATTACCAACTGTTTAGAATATATATATATTTTAAAAAGGAATTTTCCTCTTACGGCCTTTCCCTTCAGAAAAATCTCAAGCATTCCATGCTGCTCTAATAAAAACCACAGCTTTTCTCAAGTTGAGTTGAGAGGCAGCATCAGATACTAAACAAAACAAAACAAAACAAGAAGACAGACAGAAAACTCTAAATACAGTGATAGTTATATTATAGCTATTTTAAATTGACAGATAACATCAGGGGTAGCGTTTGCAATTACAATGTTTGTTATTTACCCCAAGACGTATTAGAAGAGTTATGTCCTCTTGTCAACCAAGCATAGAAGATAAATATTTATTTTTATTTATTGTAAATAAATATTTATAATCAATATGGTCTTCTATTTTTAACAAATACCATTTTAATTTTATATTAAATATTTTTCCAAAAACATGTTAGTGTCTTTTTGAAAACATTATTTTAACCAAAATGTTACATATAACTGTTTTAGATGTTTGAGCTTTTAACATTATACATTCACAAACTAAAAATATTTTTTTTATAGACTGGTCTCAATTGTTAGTAAGAATAATTTAAAAATATACATTGAGCATGTGAGTAAGAATGATGGGGTTGATTCTCTGCTCTGTTATACTGGTATCATGAAACAAATAGTTAAACACTAGCAAAAAACTTGTGCAATGGAGTGGAAAATCAGGCAAGTTACTATTAGACTGAAAATACATATTCAAGCCTCCAAGAGTTTTTAATGTTATAACATGAGTATCATATAATAAAACACCCAGTACGTGCATCTCAAAATATTGAGAATAAAAACTTAACAAAAAGTGATCTTAGCTTATTAAAATACTCAGTTACTTACCCTCTTATGAAATGTCCACAAATATGTCCCACAATTCGTAATGAACCATGTTAAAATAAAATTATAAAGAATCTTGCAAGAAGAATGAAGCAAGGTAGCATCAAACTAACAACTATTAAAAGGTAAAGGAACAGAGCAAGCAAGTTATTTATTAAATTGCATTCTCTTCCAGACTCTATTCTGGCTTAAGTGCTAAAGCACAGCAATGAGATTAGCTTTATGGTGGTTTTTTAACACAGATTGGGCCAGAGGAACTCCCAAAACTTAATGATTTGCAAATTCAAGTAAGCTAAAGCCAACAAATCATCATAAAATCATAGGACTGGAAGGGACATTGAGAGTCTTCTAGTCCAGTCTCCTGCACTCAATGCAGGACTCAGTATGAGCTAGAACATCCCTGACAGGTGACTGTCTAACCTACTGTTAAACACCTCCCTAGGCAATTTATTCCAGTGTTTAACCACCCTGACATTTGGGAAGTTTTTCCTAATGTTCAAACTAAAGCACCCTTGCTGCAATTTAATCCCATTGCTTCTTGTCCTATCCTCAGAGGTTAACAAGAACAATTTTTCTCTCTCCTTCCTTTAATGACCTTTTAGTCTTCTCTTGTCCAGACTAAACAAACCCATTTTTTTTTAATCTTTCCTCATAGATGATGTTTTCTAGGCCTTTAATCATTGTTATTGCTCTCCTCTGTACTTTCTCCAGTTTGTCCACATCTTTCCTGAAGTGTGGTTCCCAGAACTGGATATGATACTCCAGTTGAGGCCATATCAGCGCAGGGTAGAGCAGAAGATCTACTTCTCATGTCTTGCTTACAACTCTCTTGCTAACACATCCCAGAATGATGATTGCTTTTTTTTTTTTTTTTTGCAAGAGTGTTACACTGGTGACTCATATTTAGCTTGTGATCTACTCTGACCCCCCAAATCCCTTTCTGCAGTTCTCCTTCCCAGGCAGTCATTTTCCATTTTGTATGTGTGCAATTGATTGTTCTGTCCAAAGTGGAGTACTCTTCATTTGTCCTTATTGAATTTCATCCTGTTTACTTCAGACCATTTCTCCAGTTTGTCCAGATCATTTTGAATTTTATTCCTATCCTCCAAAACACTTGCAACCCCTCCCAGCTTGGTATCATGCACAAAGTTAATAGGCCATTATCTAAATAGTTTATGAAGATATTGAACAGAACCGGATCTAGGACTGATCCCTGAAGGACCTCACTTGATATTCACTTCCAGGTTGACTGTGAACTACTGATAACTACTCTATGATAATAGTCTTCCAACCAGTTATTGACCCGCCTTACAGTAGTTCCATCTAGGTTGTATTTCCCTAGTTTGTTTATGAAAAGGTCATGTGAGACAATATCACAAGCCTTACTAAAATCAAAATATATCACCTCCTATCCACAAGGCTTGTTACCCTGTCAACGAAAGCTATTAGGTTGGTTTGACACAATTTGTTCTTGACAAATCCATGCTGACTGTTACTTATCACCTTGTTATCTTCTATGTGTTTGCAAATTGATTGTTTAATATTTGCTCCATTATCTTTTCCGGTACTAAATTTAGGATGATTGGTCTGTAATTCCCTGGGTTGTCCTTATTCCCCCCTTGTCCCTTTCCAGTCCTCTGGAATCTCTCCCATCTGCCCTGATTTTTGGAAGATAATCACTAGTGGCTCAGATATCTCGTCAGTCAGCTCCTTGAGTATTCTAGGATGCATTTCATCAGGCCCTGGTGACTTGAAGACATATAATTTGTCTAAGTAATTTTTAACTTGCTCTTTCCCTATTTTAGCCTCCCATCCTATTCATTTTTCACTGGTGTTCACTGTGTTTGATATCCAATCTCTACTAAACTTTCTGGCAAAAACTGAAACAAAAGAGTCAATTAGCCATTTCCACATTTTTTGTCATTATTTCCCCCCTCATTCAATAATGGAATGTTATAGAATGTTTTCTTGTTATCCTTTTTAACTCTAGCTAGTTTGATCTCCTTTTGTGCCTTGGCTTTCTAAAATTATCCTTACATGCTTGTGCTGTTTGTTTATATTCATCCTTTGTAATTTGACCTAGTTTCCACTTTTTGTAGGATTCTTTTTTGAGTTTCAGATCATTGAATATCTCCTGGTTAAGCCAGGGTGGTCTCTTGCCATACTTCCTATCTTTCCTATGCAGTGGGATAGTTTGAAAAACTGCCAATACTCTTGAACTGTTTTTCACCTTAGTCTTGCTTCTCATAGGATCTTACCTACAAACTCCCTGTGTTTGTTAAAGTCTGACTTCTTTAAATCCATTATCTTCATTGCACTTTTTTCTCCTTAGAATCATGAACTGTGATCATTTCGTGATCATTTTCACTGAAGATCCGTTCCACTTTCAAATTCTAAACCTGTTCCTCCCTATTTGTCAAAATCAATTCTCCTCTGGTTGCTTTGTCCTCTATGTATTGGAATGTCTCCAATACATTCCAAGAACTTGTTGGATAATCTGTGCCCTGCTGTGTTATTTTCCCAACAGATGTCCATATAGTTGAATTCTCCCATCACCATCACATCCTGTGCTTTGGATGATTTTGTTAGTTGTTTATAAAAAGCCTCATCCACCTCTTATTCCTGGTTAGGTGGTCTGTAGTAGACCTCTATCATGACAACCCCCTTGTTTTTTACCCATTTATCCTTACACAGAGACTTTCAACAAGCCTGTCTCCTATTTCCATCTCAACCTCAGTCCCATTGTATACATCTTTGATATATAAAGCAACACCTCCTCCTTTTTTCTTTGCCTGTCCTTCCTGAGCAAACTGTACCCTTCTATACCAATATTCTAGTCATGTGTATTATCCCACCAAGTCTCAGTGATGCCAACTATGCCATACTTGTGTTTATTAACTAGCATTTCTAGTTTAATCATTTAACATTTTGATTTATTATGTGT